GTACGCACTGCGTGCTTATTTTTACTATTTCATCGCGGGCGCAACATGCAATATTTGATCGGCGTTTGCTGAGTGTAGCGCGAGTCAGACTGCGCACCAAATAAAATTACGTCAATGGAATTAAGCTGTTAAATAATTTAAACCTTAAAAGGAAATTATTTGTGAGGTGTTTAATTTTTGCAATTAGTAATAAATTTTCCCTGTCACACAATTCATTGTTTTCCTTTAAATAATCTGAGTCAAAAGCAATGTAACAAAAGAGACATTTCTTTGCAGATTCTTTTTTGCAGAAAGCGTGTTTTTTTTTAGAGACTGTTTGAATAAAATTGAGAGAACGTTTTTGCAATCCATGGCAATGTAATATTTTTGAAAACCAATTGTAGAAAAATCATTATTATTTTTAAAAAAATTGCTCAAAAGTATACTCTAATGATGTACATTTATGCATATTGCAAGAGTAGTGTGCCTAAAAAACATAAACTTGACATTATGTTAATAAAACACAAACATACAAAGTACGCCAAAATTTATCACAGAAAAATGAAAAAGTATGTGCAGGTACTTGCTTTTATACATTCGGCAAAAACGATAAAACACTTTCCTGAATGAGGATTTTAACTTATGAAAACGTAAGTCGAAAAGTTTGCTCTGAAAATGCTTTTTTGTCCTTATTTTTTAAATTTTTGAGAGAGGAAAAGGAATGAATACATTGAAATGAACTAAATTTGTTAAAAACTTGAGAAATTAACATCATGTGAAATGGGATGTATAAAGATAATTACCTAAGAAACTAGCCTTGTTTGAGTTTGACGTACATTAGAAAGTTTCATGTTATGTAAAGAAAAATAGGGGGGAAACCATGTTATAATGAACAATAAAAATTGAGCAAAAGTTGCTTATAGACAATACTCCTTTTTTGGCTTTATGCTATCTTATCTATGAGCGGAAACTAACATCTGCAGTGCACATTTTTCTTTTAGTTGATAGAGACACTTAAAATAGTTGACCAATTTGAATAACGTCAACATAAACATTTTTTTTCCCGGGGTGTTGTTACAAGGAATAAAATAATTTGGTCTGTTTTTTTTCAATGTAAATAGTATTTCTTGGAATTGTTGAAACAATATTTTTGTTGCATATTTTTTATGACACTAAATGTCTGAAATTATGGCTCTTCATCCCAAAGATAATGAAAAGTCATCAAAATTTGTGTCCCCGTCCACAGAAAAACACTTGTCTTGTGTTGATATCAAAATTCAAAAAGCCAATATTACTAACACTTTAGAACAAGACAATTTCTACTTCAATTATATTTTTTCTAAGCTGCTGTTTGAGAAGGATTGAAAATAACTCGCAAGAATTCAAAGGAGAAATTTCATTGATAGCCAAATTGCCTCTTCAATGGTTAGCAAAGAAAACATAAAGAAAACCTAAAATTCAGAGCCTATCACATAATTTAAGAACAATAGCTCTTTTGGATTAAACTTCCTTATCGAGACCATACATTTCATTTATCATAGTCATGCTTATACGTAATCCAACAGATAATCTAACACAATATTTATCTTATAAAATACTTAAAGCATTAAGAAGCATTTTTGTATGTTTTTTTAAAAATTTTCTGTAGTTTAGAGTAGCACAGCCATGCATCATATATACATGGCTACCATTTGGTAATTTGACTAGTCTAAAATTCTTTAAAAAAATTTTACCGTTTCGCAAATCATTTTATCATCTATATTTATCCTTATGATGAAAACAAAAACGAATTGATTTATCACAACCAATGATAAAGTTCTACTAATTGATATTTATGAATGTCTGCAAATGTATTATATCATATTTCCATTGATACGTCAGAGAAAATAGTAGCTACATCAAAAATATTTGAAGAAAACATCATTAAGTATTTTCATTCTAAATACAGATAACAAAAAATGTTCTTCGACTATCATAGACATTTAAAAATTATAAAATATTTGCAAAGTGTTTTACGTTTTTAGATGAGAATGATAGCAAACTAAAACTTGAATGCATGTGTGATAAAAATATTTCATTGCACATTAAAACTAAGATTTAGGATTGAGGGAAATAATCAAGAAAGAGAGGTACATAATTCAACAAATTGAAATGGGGCAAATCATCATCAAACATGAATACAGAAGTCATTATAAAGAGCAAGAAATACATGCAGAACAAATGATACATTTCTCTGCTCTTGTTTCTTCTGTTATAATTATTCAATATTGCAAGAATATTTTTGACAGATGGCAAATGCCTTTTAATTGTCTGAAACAAAACATTTGAAGAAGCAAGAATTTTTTAATAATGCAAAGTACCATTCATCTATTTAGCTTTTTAGACTTTCCTTACTTTAGCAGTTATGTGAAAATGCTCATAAACTTCATTGAATTCAGAACTTATATAATTATGAGAGTCGAACTTCCTCTATACGACTGACAGATGTTGTATACAGAATATCATGTATATCATGTAAAATATAAGTCAAAAATTTTGCCCTGAATATGTTTGGGGGGGTCTGCAACCACTAATGTGTCTTTTCTGTCCTTATTTTCTCAATTTTGAGAGAGGAAAAGGAATGAAAACATTGAAATGAACTAAATTTGTTAAAAACTTGAGAAATTAAAATCATGTGAAATGGGACGTATAAAGATAATTACCTAAGAGACTAGCCTTGTTTGAGTTCGACGTACATTAGAAAGTTTCATGTTATGTTAAGAAAAATAGGGGGAAAACCATGTTATAATGAACAATAAAAACTGAACAAAAGTTGCTTATAGACAATACTCCTTTTTTGGCTTTATACTATCTTATCTATGAGCGGAAACTAACACCTGCAGTGCACATTTTTCTTTTAATTGATAGAGACACTTGAAATAGTTGACCAATTTGAATAACGTTATCATAAACATATTTTTTCCCGGGGTGTTGTTATAAGAAATTATAATAATACGTTCTGTTATTTTCAATGTAAATGGTATTTCTAAGAATTGTTGAAACAATATTTTTGTTGCATATTTTTTCTTACAATAAATTTCTGCAATTATGCTCTTTATCCCCCAAATGATGAAAAATCATCAAAATTTGTGTCCCCGTCCACAGAAAAGTACTTGTCTTGTGTTAATATCAAAATTCAAAATGCCAATACTACTATCACTTAAGGACAAGACAATTTCTGCTTCAGTTATATTTTGTCTAAGCCGCTGTTTGAGATGGATTGAAATAAACTCGCTAGAATTCAAAGGAGAAATTTCATTGATAGCCAAATTGCCTCTTCAATGGTAAGCAAAGAAAACATAAAGAAAACATAAAATTCAGATCCTATCACATAATGCAAAAAGAATAGCTCTTATGGATTAAACTTCCTTATCAAGACCATACATTTCATTTATCATAATCATGCTTATACGTAATCCAACAGATAATCTAACACAATATTTATCTTATAAAATACCTAAAGCATTATGAAACATTTTTGTATCATTTTTTAATCATTTTCTGTAGTTTAGAGTAGTGCAGCTATTCATCGTCTATACATAGCTGCCATTTGGTAATTTGACTAGTCTAAAATTTTTTAAAAATTTTCACCGTTTCGCAAATCTTTTCATCATTTTATATTTATCCTTACGATAAAAACAAAAACGAATTGATTTATCACAACTAAAGAGAAAGCTCTACTTATTTATATTTATGAAGGTCTGGAAATGTATTATATCATATTTCCAATGATACGCCAGAGAAAATAGTAGCTACATCAAAAATATTTGAAGCAACCATCATTAAGTATTTTTTTTCTAAATAGAGATAACAAAAAAATTTTTTTAACTATCATAGACATTTAAGAATTATAAATATTTGCAAAGTGTTTTACGTTTTTAGATGAGAATGATAGTAAACTAAAACTTGACTGAATGTGTAATAAAGAATATTTGATTGGACTTTAAAACTAAGCTTTAGGATTGAGGGAAATGATAAAGAAAGAGAGGTACATAATTCAACAAATTGAAATGGGGCAAATCATTATCAAACATCAATACAGAAGTCATTACAAAAAGCAAGGAATGCATGTAGAACAAATGATACACTTTCCGTCTCTTGTTTCTTTTGCTACAATTATTCAATATTGCAAAAATATTTTTGACAAATGGCAAATGGCTTTTAATTGTCTGAAACAAAATATTTGAAGAAGTAAGAATTTTTTAATACTGCAAAGTTGCATTCCTCTATTTAGCTCTATGAGTCAAAATACTCATAAATTTCATTTAATTCAGAATTTATATAACTATGAGAGTCGAACTTCTCTATACGACTGGCGGATGTTGTAAAGCAGAATATCATGTATTGTTTAACGGCCTCCATTTCTGTAACTAGACGACATGTAGTTACGAAGAGGCCAGCGAGTCTGTTAAACACTGCGCAACAGACTATTTTGCATTTAATTTTGCTGGCTTAGTTAAGCAATAGGTCTTTTCCATTCATCTGGTAAACTGAGTTAACATGAACAAACTTGAAATCAACCCATTTTAAATTTTTTCTAAACCGCTCTTGGGGAATTTCATATATTGTGTCATTTCCTTATAGTGGACATTGAAATGTTTTATTTCTTTCTATGCTTTGGTTTCCTAGAAACCTTACATCTATTTATTCAAAACACGTTCTAGGCGGGTGAACTCTACTTATATGAATTCTTGTAAACTTGAGTCCTTATAATGAACAATTTGTCTAATCTATTGCAACAAAATTCACTCATCATCAATTTTCTGAAAGCAAACGTGGAAATACGTGGAAATACTTTTTGGAGAAGGAAGTTAAAATGTTACATAATTATAGAAATCAATACTTGATTTATACATTCCCCAAAAAGTTACAAACAAATCGATTATATGATTATATTGATGATAAGCCTTTCATAAAAAAAGTAAATGTTTTACTACGAAATCTTTAAAGAAATTAATAATCATCCATCTTCTAACAAATAGGAAATAAAGATGATATCAAACTCAACAAAAGCGTTTCTTGGGACTCTTATAATCCTGTCTATTAGTGGCCAAATAGTAAATGGTAATGACGACATATCAATCTGCAAGAAAAGCTTAGAGAGATTAAAAGACATTGTGAAAGAATGGATGGAAACTTGCGTTGATAAAAATGGCAATGACGATAACACAATTGCATGCAAGGAAGTGAAACAATACAACAAAGAAATGATGCAAATGCAAACAGAAATGTGTTTCTACAAAGGTATATTCATTCAATTTGACAAATTTTCATAGTTTCTTATTCATAGCACCAAAAACAATATGCAACAATAATAGGTAGAAGTTATGCAGCCAATCTAATTTCAGTTATTAAAAATATTTCTATAGTGAAAAATTCTTTCTGAAAATACTTATTCTGGTCTTTCACCAAATATTATGATCGTAAAGTCTATAAAAATTTGCATTTTTTTTAATCCACTCGCATCGTTGTTACTTATAGTTTTTATTATTTATTTAGATGTTTATCCAAAGCCATATTTGATTATTATGAGCTTCGATAAAGTATACTCTGTCGATTCTATTACTGGAGATATTCATGTCAGCACTATTAATGGATCCAGTAAGAATAAATTTGACCATGCATCAAAATATAATGACATAGAAATTGATGTAGTTGAGAATGTGCTTTACTACATTGATGACAAAGACATCAAACGGGGAAATTTTGACTTAACTAGAAACGAAGTTTTTGCGAAAAATGTTTCTGTTCATGATATTACAGTTGACTGGATTGGTCGTCGTATCTTTTACATTGACTCCACGAACATTATCTACCAAATTCATTTGAAAAAGAAAATTACAAGTGTTATGAGGCTTCAACCAGGCTTACAATTTTCCAGCATTGCATTTGACTCAAAACATGGGTAAGGCGATATTGAAATTTTTTTATTTACTTGTAAGCGTAATCAATGTCAATCTATTGGAGGGTTTTCTTAAGTAAGGTAAGATTTTCTATTATTAGAGACGGCATTTTAATTTAATAGAAAAGTTGAATTTTTGAAGTCCGTATCATGGCCTGTTATTTAGAGGTACAAGAATAAAAAAATATTGATTTTCGAGGGAAAACAAAACTCGCTTTTACCCAAGGGAGCAAATATTAAGTATTTTTTTGTGTATAAAGTAAAAACCGTCATATATTTCGACGGCTTTTCACTAAAATCAACGAGATTTGGCCAGCAATATTTTATTGCGTGACTATGAGGCATTTCAAACCAACTGAAAGGATGAGCTCAGCTCGTGTGATTATTCAGCACAGATGCAGTAGAAAATAACATGCAGATCCTGAAATTGCAAAAATCGAAAGCGATATTTATGTTGAGCAACCAAAAAGCCTTGAGAAATATGTAACAACGGAGGGATCAATGTTTATAATTGATGAAGTCGTTAAATAAAATAAAACAGACTGATAGAAACAGCAAAAAAATATTAAATAATTACTTTACCGATGAAACTTTAGTCAAATACTCACAGAATATTGGTTTGCCACAACCAAAAACAAAAAAGTAGTCCAACTTCACTGTCCAACTTGGTGTTGTACATTTAATAAGATTACTGGCTTCAGCTGGCCACCTAAGAGCGCTTTTCTTTAGCAGAAAATGCAATTTGCTTGACGCCTCCATGGTAATCATATGCTTAATAAGATATGCCCTACACAAAAGATTTCAACAGATTGGGAGCATTGTTTGTTGCTTTGCTGTGCCCTTTCATATACTGTGCAACAATCTCAATACGAAATAGCAATAAAGTTTTAAAAAATTCACGAAGGTGGTGAACGTAAGAAACTTCAACCTTTCGTTTTTTATTGAAGATAAAAAAACTGCGCACATTCCCACGTAGTTACATCAAAAATATAAAAGAATTTTAGTTTTCAAAAAATGTGGCAATTTAGAAAAAAATCAGTATATCAAGTTTATAGTTTTTCAAGCCTTCTTTTAACTTGCATTGAATGGCGGAGTATATTGAAAAGTCAAGAGTTGCAAATTAAGTGTCTGCACACTACCCTGCAATAAATCCAATCACACATCCAATCAAATCACGGGATTGGAAAATCTTTCCAATACCTTTAGTTCATGCAGTGTTTCTTAGTGTAATTGATGCAAACGTTAGATCTGTAGTTGCTCAACTGATGATGAATCTGAAGATAATAATCACTTTAGAGATTAAAAAGAAATTGTCTGAAAAGCCTGTGAAGCGAGAACTTTCTGAATATGTTATAATTAATTTACAAATTTAAAAACATTTCCTCTTCTAACGATTCCTATGAGCTCTCCATTCATGAGAGGCTTCTAATTAATAAATACAAGTCTTCACTCATCGTTCAAGAAAGCTCCATTGCACTTAACCTCTCTTAGCGTCAGTATATTTTACTTCTCAACTTCTTTATCATGTATTCCATTTTGCACCGCCTCCTTAATACGTAATTTAACACATTTTGTAAATACAATATCTTGTTTTAACATCTCATTATAAATTATAATTTCACTGAATATGTCTTGACTAAGGACGAAACGTCGGTATAAATTCCATTTTACAACTTTTGGTTTATTTCTATGGCTCTAATTAAAACTTTATGTTGTGCATTAATTTTTATCATATTATAAGAAAAAATTAATTTTCACGAACACAAAAAACTAAAAGAACGTTAGTATATAGGAGAAAGTTTTTAAAGAGTTCGAGGCAAGGTGAAATGAACGATAAGAAGACATGGACTTTACTGTTACTCAAATGAGTAATATATTTAAGAAATGTATAAGAGAATGCAAATATGCTGCGATGATAATTAAAACTGCCAGATGCATCAAAAATTTTCGATAAAGTAATGGCCATAGTGTTGAAGCAGTTTTTGCAGCTTGTCTAATCCAGAGATTCTTAAAAACATGAACATGACATGGCGATAGAATCATCATCTTCAAATGATACCAATAGCGCTAGCTCCAGTGTCAATCTTTTTCTAATTTTTCAGAAAAACAATGAAGAAATTTGACAATTGAATAGAGAAGGTTAAGATAGTTGTAAAAAATCGTTTGTCCAAACAAACTGAAAAAAAGTATCAACAAAAGACAATGTTTGTGAAGCTATAGCTCTTTTAAAGACATTTGTAGACGATGATCCATCCAAGGAGCTGCTACTTTTCATGCAAGATGAAACTGAAAAATTAAGAAAGCTTAAACCTGAAATGACAAAGCTTTCTTAAATTTATATCTACATTAAATGGTGCATATCATTTACCAACACCAAATTTTCAATTCGAACAAAATTTCCACGCATCAAATAATTTTCAGCATTATCAATTACCAACACAATTCATTCAGCAGCCACTCCAAACTACAGCATTACTTATTCCGACAATAATCTCAAACAATACCAATCATTATAGAAGTTATGTGAATAAAAATAACATATTACATTTATTATGCTCTGAATCACATGCAATGTTTAATTACCTCATATATTTTAGTTCGGTTTTCAAACGAGGGATTTCAAATATTAAACATGATCTTTTCCTGTTAGCTACAATAGCTTTATGTTGCTATATTATCAAATTTCATGAATATGTTCTATTAAACCGTTTATATATGAAAGTAGTTCTGAATACTTTGACAACATCTTTGTCTAAACTAAAAAAATATTCTATCTTTCCTTTTAAGTATATATTAGTCTGTTTATTGTTTATGTATTTCATTACGTATAGAGAAAACTAATGTACAAAACAAATATTTTTATTAAGGTATCTATTCTTGGCAGAAAGTACAGAACGTTTCTTATGGTTATGGAACAAAACTGCAAATAAACATCATATTCTTTCAGTTTCACTTCAGTCAATAGCATATGATCTAACGCTTGACATGGCTAAAAAGAAGATTTATTGGCGGGTTTCAAACGGAAATGTTTTTTCTTGTGATTACTACTCCCATGATGTAAATGATTTTGGAACTTCAGGAGGTCCCATGGCAGTATTTGGGGATTTTATTTATATCATAACTAGTGTCGGACGAAGTGTCGTTAGTGTCCATAACACAACAGATCAACGTACGAGGCGTAAATATTTTCTTCCTGTAAACAACGGTTATCTTGATTTGGCTGTAGCTATGCACACCAAATCAAGATATAACAACAGTATTACTCCTGACTCAAACGGTAGTTAAATATTTACTTATTTGACATAACAAGCTAAGACTTGCAAAACTCTCACGCTAATGTACTTAAAATTGAAAGACGTTAAAAGTTTAAAGTTACATTGCCTTATTAAACGGTTGTTCTTCCTTCCAAAATTATAGAAAATTTGATAAACATTAAGTTCAAAGTGCAAAGTGTCTAATCTGGATGTTTTGCCGTTTGTCTATTCTTGCCAAATTTGTTGGGTGTTAAATTTAAATCTTTATTGTTTCTTACATCATTTCAACAATCACTCTGGCTTGTAATCAGTTTTAAATAAGAAAAAATTTCATGAAAATAGAATGAAAGACAAAAACGTCCAATTTGAGCATGTTGTGCAGTGAGCTTAATATTTATTAAATCTTCTAAATATTTAGTACATTGCAAAACAGGGTTCAAACTTATAAATCTTTGGATTAAACTAGATTTGAAACTTTTCATTTTCTTTCTGCATGCAGTTCAAAGTGAGGCAATTACGAAGTACTCTCATGGTTTTCGAGATTACATCTTAATTCATTTTACTTTTAAATAATCAAGACAAGACAATGCCAAAATACATGAGCTTTGGCACATTTTGTTAGAAATATTGATGAATTGATAATTTCCTGAACATTTTTTGATTATCTAACTTCTTTCGATACATCCTTTATAGTATCAAAAACAGCCAGCAAATCTGTTCATACTCTGTAAATTTTCAACATTTATTTAATTGTTTTGTTTTTACGATATTCGTGAACACCAAAGATACCAACAATACATCACAAATTTCCTAGCTGGGTACGTCATAGTGGATACTAAATGACAAATTGTGTTCTTTGAGAAAGAACATGTTTTCTTTTGAAATCCATAGTTGATTTTATTTTTAATTTTATTATTCTATATAGCGACAAACACTTTTCGACTTCCTCTATGTGGACCAAACACTTACTATCGTAAAATTAATGGATCATTAAACTGCACGTGTATGAAAGGATACTCAGGAGAATGTAACTCGTGCCAGGGTATGGATTTATAACTAAACAAACAAAACTTGTTCCACAAGGACATAGTTAAACATAACCTATTATATCTATGCCCATAAAAAGATTAAGTAATACCAGAGAAAAAGGACCGCCTATTGAACAAATTTTTCATGGAGGAATGTGATAATCCTTATATTGTTTGTTTTGTTACGATTTTTACATTAATTATGGCTTTTTAAAGCTGCAGGCTTTAGCTTATGTAGCTCCATTAGAATTTTTTTGCATATTAAAAAGGAGCATCTCCAAATTAACACTGCAGTGTAATTTTATGTCTTTTAATGTCGTGCTGTCTATCTTAAGAATTCATTATTAATTTGTTTTTAACTGACCATTAAGGTTCAGCTAAAGCCAAGCCTAGAGAGCACCAAAAACGTATTTCTGAATAAGTAAAAAGACAGTTATTTTAAAAATACGATATAGTTTTCCACGTTGTAAGCGAAGAGTCTATGTGAACAATTTACTTTTTATTTTTTTGCTTGTTTCAACAAGTTATGGGGCAGTATTGCCATATGGCAATAAAATCAAATGATTGAATGGAAAATTAATGGGAACATTCGCAAGTTAAAGTGTTAATAAGATATTTATATTACAAAAAGAAATGAGGACTGATCTAAATAAAAAATTATTTAGACTTATGAAAGTCAAATAGTGTCTACTTGTCTAAAACGTTTTGATATTGTATTCATGTAATATTTTTTATCAATTTTTTGTTACTAATTTAATTCATTAATTTCGCCTTAGGAAGATTTTACAATGGCATCTAACATATTAGGATACTTTATATATATACATGTAACTTAGAATATTTTGGAGTTGAGAATTTCATGTTTTGCAATATCTCTTTATTTTCTCTTTTTATCAGTTACCAACCCTGTTAGACTTCGGGGACCAGAAATTTCTATTGGCAAAGGTCGTGTAGAAGTATTTTACAATGGAGAATGGGGAACAATTTGTGATGATGGCTGGGATTTAAACGATGCTAAAGTTGTTTGTCGACAACTTGGTTATGACAATGCTGTCAGGGCTTTACTAGGAGGTGATGTTCCTTATGGCAGAGGAAGAATATGGTTAGATGATGTTTCTTGTGCAGGAAATGAAAATATTATTTCGAGTTGTTCACATGAAGGATGGGGATTACATGATTGTATACATGATGAAGATGCTGGTGTACAATGTTCAGGTTTGTATGTACATTATTAACCTTTTTGTACAAAGATGATAAACTGAATTATTTGGGGAGTCCTCAATGATGAACATAAGATTTAATATGATTTAATAATACTAAAACAGATATTGACCAATGCCTTAAGTATAAACACAGCTTCGGACGAATATTAACCAAATAAACACAACTCGTTCTACGAGTACATAATTAAACATAACCAATTTTATGATTGCCCAGAGAAAGATTCGACAATACCAGAGAAAATGGGCAGTCCATTGGCCAACTTTTCCTTGGAGGAATATGATAATCCTTAAATTATCAGTTTTGTTACGATTGTTTACATTCATTATAGCTATTTAAAGCTGTATGCTGTAGCTTATGATGCTCCATTAAAATTTTTTTGCACATTAATAAGGAGCATCTCCAAATTTACACTGCAGTGTAATTTTATGTCATGTAATGGCGTGCTGTCTATCTTAAGAATTCATTTTTAAATTCGTTTTTAACTCACCGTTAAGATTTAGCTAAAGCCATGTCTAGAGAGCACCAGAAACATATTTCTCAATAATTAAAAAGTTAGATATTTTAAAAATGCAATAAAGATTCCCGCGTTTAAAACGAAGAGTATGAGTGAACTATTTACTCTTTATTTTTTGTCTGTATCAACAAGTTATGGGGTAGTTTTGCCATAATGCAATAAAATGAAATGATTGAATGGGAAACCAATGGGGAAAGTGCGCAAGTTAACAGGTTAAGAACTTATTTTTATTACATAAAGAAATGAGGACTGGTCTAAATAAAAATTTTTTTCGACTCATGAAAGTCAAATAGTGTGTCTGATGGTCCAAAACGTTTTTATATTGTAGTTATGTAAGTTTTTTCATCAAATCTTTGTTACTATATTAAAGGATTAATTTCGCACAAGAATATTTTACAATGGCACCCAACATAACCGGATACTTTATATATAAACATGTAACTTAAAATAATTTGGAGTAAAGACTTTTATGTTTTGCAATATCTCTTTATTTTCTTTTTTTAGTAGTTAACAGCTCTGTTAGACTTTGGGGACCAGAAAGTTCTATTGGCAGAGGTCGTGTGGATGTATTTTACAATGGAGAATGGGGAACAATTTGTGATGATGGCTGGGATTTAAACGATGCTAAAGTTGTTTGTCGACAACTTGGTTATGACTATGCTGGCAGGGCTTTACTAGGAGGTAATGTTCCACATGGCAGTGGAAGAATATGGTTAGACGAAGTTCGTTGTGTAGGAAATGAAAATAATATTTCCAGTTGTTCACATAGTGGATGGGGATCACATAATTGTACACATGATGAAGATGCTGGTGTACAATGTTCAGGTTTGTTTGTACATTATTTACATTTTTTTACAAAGATAATAAACTGAATTATTTGAAGGATCCTCAATGATTAATCGAAACATTTAATATGATTTTCAAATACTGAAGCAATATTGACAAATGCCTTAAGTATAAACACAGCTTCGGACGTAAATTAACCATATAAACACAACTCGTTCCACGAGGACATAATTAAACATAACCTATTTTATGATTGCCCAAAGAAAGATTCGATAATACTCGAGAAAAAGGGCAGTTCGGTGACCAAATTTTTCGTGGAGGAATGTAATAATCCTTAAATTATCTGTTTTTTTTACGATTGTTTACATTTATTTTAGCTTTTTAAAGCTGTAGGCTGTAGCTTATAAAGGTTCATTAAAATTTTTTTTGCATATTTAACAGAAGCATCTCCAAATTAACACTGAGTGTAATTTTATGTCTTTTAATATCGTGCTGTCTATCTTAAGAATTCATTTTTAATTTGTTTTTAACTGACCGTTAAGTTTCAGCTAAAGCCATGCCTAGAGAGCACCAGAAACGTATTTCTGAATAATAAAAAAGACAGTTATTTTAAAAATACGATATAGTTTTCTACGTTGTAAGCGAAGAGTCTATGTGAACAATTTACTTTTTATTTTTTTGCTTGTTTCAACAAGTTATGGGGCAGTGTTGCCATATGGCAATAAAATCAAATGATTGAATGGAAAACTAATGGGAACATTCGCAAGTTAAAGTGTTAATAAGATATTTATATTATAAAAAGAAATGAGGACTGAACTAAATAAAAAATTATTTAGACTCATGAAAGTCAAATAGTGTCTACTTGTCTAAAACGTTTTGATATTGTACTCATGAAATTTTTTTTATCAATCTTTGTTATTAATTTAATTCATTAATTTTGCCTAAGAAGATTTTACAAGGGCATCTAACATATTAGGATACTTTATATGTATACATGTAACTTAGAATATTTCGGAGTTGAGACTTCTATGTTTTGCATTATCTCTTGATTTTCTTTTTTTATCAGTTATCGACTCTGTTAGACTTCGGGGACCAGAAAGTTCTATTGGCAAAGGTCGTGTAGAAGTATTTTACAATGGAGAATGGGGAACAATATGTAATAATGGCTGGGATATAAACGATGCTAAAGTTGTGTGTCGACAACTTGGTTATGACTATTATTTCAGGGCTTTACTAGGAAGTAATGTTCCACATGGCAGTGGAAGAATATGGTTAGACGGCGTTCGTTGTGTAGGAAATGAAAGTAATATTACGAGTTGTTCACATAAAGGATGGGGATTACATTATTGTACACATTATAGGGATGCTGGTGTACAATGTTCAGGTTTGTATGTACATTATTTACATTTTTATACGAAGATGATAAACTGAATTATTTGAGGGATCTTCAATGATTAATTGAAACATTTAATATGATTTTATAATAATGAAATAGATATTGACAAATGCCTTAAGTATAAACACAGCTTCGGACGTAAATTAACCAAGTAAACACAACTCGTTGCACGAGTACATAATTAAACATAACAAATTTTATGATTGCCCAGAGAAAGAATCGACAATACCTAAGAAAATGGGCAGACCATTTGCCAACTTTTCCCTGGAGGAATATGATAATCTTTAAATTATCAGTTTTGTTACCATTGTTTACATTCATTCTAGCTAGTTAAAGCTGTATGCTGTAGCTTATGATGCTCCATTAAAATTTTTTTGCACATTAATAAGGAGCATCTCCAAATTTACACTGAGTGTAATTTTATGTCTTGTAATGGCGTGCTGTTTATCTTAAGAATTCATTTTTAAATTCGTTTTTAACTGACCGTTAAGATTTAGCTAAAGCCATACCTAGAGAGCACCAGAAACATATTTCTCAATAATTAAAAAGACAGTTATTTTGAAAATACGATAAAGATTCCGGCGTTTTAAACGAAGAGTATGAGTGAACTATTTACTCTTTATTTTTTGCCTGTATCACCAAGTTATGGGGTAGTTTTGCCATATTGCAATAAAATGAAATGATTGAATGGGAAACCAATGGGGAAAGTTCGCAAGTTAACGGGTTAAGAACTTATTTATATTACATAGAGAAATGAGGACTGGTCTAAATAAAACTTTTTTTTTCGACTCATGAAAGTCAAATAGTGTGTCTGATGGTCCAAAACGTTTTGATACTGTACTTATGTAAGTTTTTTTTATCAAATTTTTGTTACTAATTTAAATGATTAATTTCGCACAAGAATATTTTACAATGGCACCCACACTAACAGGATACTTTATATATAGAAATGTAACTTAGAATATTTTGGAGTGAAGACTTCTGTGTTTTGCAATATCTCTTTATTTTCTTTTTTTATCAGTTATCAACTCTGTTAGACTTCGGGGACCAGAAAGTTCTATTGGCAAAGGTCGTGTAGATGTGTTTTACAATGGAGAATGGGGAACAATTTGTGATGATGGCTGGGATTTAAACGATGCTAAAGTTGTTTGTAGACAACTTGGTTATGACTATGCTGGCAGGGCTTTACTAGGAGGTAATGTTCCACATGGCAGTGGAAGAATATGGTTAGACGAAGCTCGTTGTGTAGGAAATGAAAATAATATTTCGAGTTGTTCACATAGTGAATGGGGATCACATAATTGTACACATGATGGAGATGCTGGTGTACAATGTTCAGGTTTGTATTTACATTATTTAAATTTTTATACAAAGATGATAAACTGAATTATTTGAGAGATCTTCAATAATTAATTGAAACATTTAATATGATTTTATAATGCTGAAATAGATATTGACAAATGCCTTAAGAATAAACACAGCTTCGGACGTAAATTAACCAAATAAAGACAACTCGTTCCACGAGTACATAATTAAACATATCCATTTTTATGATTGCCCATTGAAAGATTCGACATTACTAGAGAAAATGGGCCATCTATTGACCAACTTTTCTTTGGAGGAATATGATAATGCTTAAATTATCAGTTTTGTTACGATTGTTTACATTCATTATAGCTATTTAAAGCTGTATGCTGTAGCTTATGATGCTCCATTAAAATTTTTTGCACATTAATAAGGAGCATCTCCAAATTTACACTGCAGTGTACTTTTATGTCTTGTAATGGCGTGTTGTCTATCTTAAGAATTCATTTTTAAATTTGTTTTTAACTGACCGTTAAGATTTAGCTAAAGCCATACCTAGAGAGCACCAGAAACATATTTCTCAATACTTAAAAAGACAGTTATTTTAAAAATGCGATAAAGATTTCCGCGTTTTAAACGAAGAGTATGAGTGAACTATTTACTCTTTATTTTTTGCCTATATCAACAAGTTATGGGGTAGTTTTGCCATTATGCAATAAAATAAAATGATTGAATGGGAAACCAATGGGGAAAGTTTGCAAGTTAACCAGTGAAGAACTAATGCCCAGGGATTAAAATAGCACCTTTTTAATGTGAGGGGGGGGGGATGAAATTGCCCTGTAAGGACACAAGATGCCCTGCAAATCGTATAGATTAGTACTTATTTAACAATAAAATATTGTGATGATTGAACACATTTTTGCTATATATTTTTGTAGTACATATTGTATTCTTGTGACAGAACGCACTTTAGCGTATTATTACATCTTTAATGTTATTTTTTGCATCCTTGCAGTTGCCCAATTTTTTAAAATAATATTTAAGTCAACATTGTCCGTAGTGTCTTTTTCACATGCAAGAACGATTAAGTCATTTAATCGCGTATCTATCTTTGTGCATCTCAAGCAGTTTTTGACAATCATATACTTCCTGAAACACCTTTCATCTTTAGCAACGGACACTGGAGCGGTCAGCAATAGTTGATATGCCTTGCACACCATTGGAAAGACGTTTTTGTGATTGAAAGCAAATAACGCAACGTCTTGAAGGGATTTGGGTTCTGATTTAAGTTGTGACGACACAATATTATTGAAAACTTCCAACTCAGACAGCAGTATTACTGCATCAACATCTTATACCGCCGGTGGAAAAAGACTACACTTTTCATGAACTGATTCAGCCATCGGCCTTTCTAGTGGCAGCTGTAAGCTCTCTCCAAAAGGTTTTATCTGGTCGATGCAAACTTTAATGATATTGGTATACTCGGTAATAAGTGAGTCTAGAACCAAGTACATTTCTTTTGGTACAAATCTTTAAAGGTTTTTCTGTTGTTATTTCGGAATGCTCACCAATTCGTTTGGGTGACTTTCTTGATCGATGATGTGTATTTTGCCATTACGTCTATTCCTACTTTGGTAACGAATGCAACCATTGCCTCTATCTCTGAGTCTAATCCGTTATCGTCACTTCGAATTTGTCTAAGGTTTTTTACTGTAGCATCAATCAGGTTAAGTGCATATATTAGATTTAGCTCCTCCTTCTGCTGTTGTTTGATTAGGGATTGGTTTTTTTATTATGATTTGCATGAAAATAAGAGCAAAAAGAAAGTCAAAACTAAGAAATTTCTTTTTTATTCCATCGCCTTTAGATTTTATTTTTGAGTCTACTTCTCGAGCATTAATAACTTTCACAATAGCGTTTGGTATTACCTCATAACTTCTCCAGACAGCATCAATGGACTCAGAATTGTAAACCCATCTTGTCTTTGACAAGTTTCGAAACTTTAAATTGTTTTCAACATTTTTGCAACTTTCTTCTACAATTTTATTTCTTTTTGTGCTTTTGCTAAAGAGCACATATACGTAATCTAGAGCGCCGTACGTTGATATACTTATTGAGCTATAATTGCAACAATGCTCGTTGAATGTATTAGACCGTCGTCTCTGGCAAGGGATGTAAGGCACTTGTCGTTTTAAAATTTCTTGCAACACTTTTTTAGCACCATTTAGTTATCCAGATATTGATGTTGCGAAATCGTATGTTTTAAATGCAAGCATATCTATATCGATTTCATTTTCTATTAAAGATTTAATGACACCTTTAGCCGCTCCAGCATCGGTTTTATCAAGGCTCTCTTTCATTTCAAGCCGTCTCTCGCATGGGATGCTCATATGGTTGACATATTTTACAGCGACGATAAGCATGTCTTGAATCAAAGTATTAGGTGTAGTGTCTGCAGACACAGAAAATACACCGGCTGACTTAATTCAGCACAAATTTCATCCCTCACAGATTGAGCCGGCAAATGATGCATCTCATTTTGTGCTTCTGACCTTGTATATGTTGTACTCTATGGCCTTAGGCCCTGATCGTCCAGCCACAGCTTGAGAACAGGAGAATGTATTGGAAAAAGATTTACAATCTGAATGAATTTTCCGTCCTTGTCATTGCCGCCTCCTCTGGATGCCAACGACTGCTTGCCTGAGTGCGAGCCACATTAAGAAGAATCAACATAATTTCTTTGTTCTTTTCTTCATCTGCTTTCTCTTGCATCATTATTTCCTTCATTTTCGCATTCATCATTACATCAATATGGCCAGATGTTATTGAGAAACGAGCAAAATCAGCCAGAGTAGCTTGTTGGGACTTGCTACTGAAGTGTTTATGAAGTTTTCCTTCATAAACACTTCAGGAAGAAAGATTATATTTTGTTCTTTTACTTTTCATTGCAAAAAATGACGTGCTTCATCTTTCTATTGCTACCAAGGAAAAATACTATGATTATCTTAATGGATGAAACGTTTTGATTTAATCATGGTAAGATTTGGCAAACACAAGTAGTATTTAAGGACAAAATTTAAAACTGGCCAAAATTTGCTAAATTTTTTTCCGTTCAGATCATGGATAGGGTTTTCGTATATTCCTTGATATAGACTGAAAGCAGGAAAGCGCTTTTCTAAGAGTTAAATTTCATGAAATTTTATAGGCTATAAAGAAAGATCCTAGTGATGGGGAATCATGTCGAAGAAATACACTAAAAACCTAATTCTAATCGAAGATCGTAAGAAGTTTCGTCGAAAATTTGAAACCTTATGTAGAAAATGCTGTATGTTTGACATTTTTATCCATTGTTGAAATGTATCTGTAATATTATCATATAAAGTAAATGTACATATTATCATAATCTTTAAAAAAAAGTAAAATGATGAAGTTTTATTTCTGTTAAGAATAAAATATTATTGACAAATCAAATGATTTACTGAATTACATTATCTTTGACAATTGATAAATGAAGCCGTAAGATTTTCTTTTGAAGTTACATAAAGTTATTGCGTGGATTTCGCAAGACAATGCTGGCAATTGCTACCTACGATGCCAATTCTACTGCCCACCAACCAGAGATGACCGCGAATGCATGAAAATAAAACTAATAAAATCAGTTTATGATGTGTTTCCAAAGTAAAGGCAAACCTCGACTAGCTGTGTAATTAAAAGAAATCTTAAAATCAATCTATTGTAAATCTTGACTTTTAGTTTTTCCGTTGGGACTTGTTAATCATGTAGATTGATTTACCAATAAATTGATGCATTGCAGGATTCAGAAATGTTTGGAATATGATATCGAAATAAAAATTAAGAATCATTTTGTCTCACTCAAAATGGATGACGATTTTAGAAAATGACGTCAGATATTGCATTCATGAATTATTATGTTTCTAATCATTTATGATTTATCAAACATCAAGCACAACATAGAGTACCATTTCTTCAAATGCAATGTTTATGATTGTACAATGAATGCAAATTATAAATTATTAGTGAAAACATTTCATTTTTTTGAACTTTTTCTTAGTAGAGACTACAGCTAAAATAAAGTGTTTATCTTTCTCATGACATATATCTGTGAAGAATCATAACCAGATGAGTACGGTATCTCTCAGAAAGTTTTGGTAATTCAGAAAATATACTGTTATGTAACGTTAAAGTATCGTTAACTTGACATCATTTCATTTTATAAAATAAACACAACGAAGCACGTGCGCTGATGGGTTTAGACCTGTGTTTGCATGAGTTTGCAAAAACGATCTAAGCTCAACCAATCAAATCAATCAATCAATCAAACAGAAGTTGCAAATTGATCATGACTACACGTTAAAAGATAATTATAGCGGTTTTTTGTTTCGCATTATTGTTATTTTTAAAAAAAAATAAAAGAAGTTTTTCGTGTTTGCACTGGCTTTTGCAAGTGTGTCTGGGGTAAAAGTTCTTGAGCATGTGCAACCCTAAACATTCGGTCTCGGGCTTGCACAGATCTGCTCTTGAGTTTTCGCAAAGGTATCCTCGGATTGCATAAGCCTGTGCAAACACATGCAGTAAACATCTTTTATTTATTAATTTCTGTATGAATTACTTCATTTGTAAATAACATCCTTGTTTTATTAGAGTAAATATTTACGAAATGCTAAAACGTCAATGATTTTCACAGAATCTGTTTACAATAGACTACATTTACTATCCTAGATCAAAACATGAGACATTTTTATTTCATTATGCCTAAGTAAAGAGTTTAACGACTTTTTTTACCCATTTTTTAAAGAAAGAACACTTATAATTTAATCAAACCTTTGTAATCTTCGTCGTTAGGTCCTTACACCTCGACAACATAACGACATAGCGACATGATTGCAGATGGTGTTATAACATTTAACTAAAATACATGGAGTGCTACTTGTAATACAAAACCTTAATAATTTTTTGAAGCCGTAATTTTACCTTAGAAACGCGAGATTTTACACCAGACACGCTTGTGAAGTCAATTATTACTCCGTGCGAGAGTCTCAAAACACTAAGCACGCGTGTCTGGGGTAAAATCTCGCCTATCTGGTGTAAGATTTGGGCTTTTCGCTTCAATTATTAGCTTTAGGTAGCGCTCCATGTATTTTAGTTCTATGTGTTATAACGACTACCATTGGTAACCTGGCAAACATGTCGCTGAGTAGTAACAACCTAGCGTCAACGACGGTGTGTTACACAAATAGCTACCTAACTTCCTGGAAGTGGTATCTTGCCTATATTGAGTTAGATGGTTTATGCCTGAATACAGGCTAAAAAATAGTCAAATAAAACAAAGTGCAAAATTTGTTTTGCCGTAATATTTTTGATGAACGTACTAAAACTACATTAAGTTACATGATAAGTTGCGTCGATTTTAATAACTTTTTTTCTATCATTTTTCGCTCTCTCTTACATTGAGTAAGAGCACTTACAAGTATGTTTGCTTCTTTTTGTGAGGTTTTGTTGATGATAAAAATTTCGTACAAGTTTAAAATGTGATCTTAGAAATTTTCAAAAAAAACTATAAATAAATGTTTTTGTAATCAAATATTCTCTCCCTCATTTTTCAAAATACCATACCCTAATATTTAAGTTACTTGAGATAAAAGCATTAAAATGTCAAATATTTCAACGTGACACGTAGGATATGCAAAGAAAAGAATTTTTATTGTGTGTAATTTACTCTGAAATACATCACAGAAATTTTTTTTTTTGTTTTTGTTTTATGTCTTATGAAATCAAATTATTTTGATCTTTTTGCAACAAGTACCGAGACATGTATTATTTGAAAACATTGAAGCATCATTACCACCTGGATCTACATTTTGATATGTTTTAACATTAATAAAAGATTTCTTGAAGTTAATGCCTTTCTGAACCTCTATTGAATACTTATCATCAAGATTAACTTGGAAAAGAACAGGAAAATAATCAAGTGAATGTAATGTATTAAAATCAGATTCGTCTAATTTTTTGAGCTCATTTGTGAAGGTCTTATCGGATTATTTCGTAATTTTTGTATTGTGTCAATGTTTTCATTTCATAGCAGTTTGTTTTGGCCTTTTCAGTTCTAGCCCAGATTTAGTTGTAAAATGGGACAATTAACAACCGTGGGTTATGTAGCTAAATATTCTTTTGTTGGAATATATGATGTCAAGAAATGCTTATTGAATTTCTTGCTGAAATTGCAACCAAAGGAAAACTAAAATTTATCAAAAGTGATAATTTAGGAGAATTTGCAGGATATGAGTTCAAATTTCTTTTAAGTAATAGTCTAATCATGCAAGAGACATTATTTATTGAGAGTTATTCGCCTTACCAAAATGGGAAGAGAGCGACTGGTAAAATTTATTCAATATGGCCAGATGGTTACCAGTAGAATTAAAATTACCAAAGTTGTTGTCAACTTGTGCAGTAATGGCATCTGCATATATTGCAAACAGGTGTAGCAATAATAGAATTGAAATAATTGCAAGTGAGGCTCTAACGAGATTTAAGTCTATTCTTACTAAAATGCATGGTTCGGTTCAATGTGTTTTTGCTAACACATACAGAATCCCAGAAAGCTCGAGCCAAGAGGTAAAAGAGGAATTTTTGCGGAATGTGATAAGTGGAGTCCAGCTTACCTAGTATATCATTAAGAAACCACGAAAATAGAGCGAGTAAGGTAAAATTTTTGATGGAGTCGATAAATTTGTCATTGACAAAATTAAAACGGATAATGAATTATGTCCATCATTTTGTACTATAAACCTGTTGCAATTCAGAGCAAGAAACTAAAAAATTGGAGGGAAAAATTTACGATCAAGTTGAGAACACAGGAAGGTACCCTTCTAAAGTCGAAAATAAGCCAGCCAGCATAGCATAACTGCTATTACCAGTAAGCGTGCAGTTGATTAACGTTATAGATTAAATAACGTAGCAAATTCTCATTTAGAGGCGGATCAACCGAGTTAGTCTTGGTGATTACCATAAGTTATCAATGTTTACAAAGAGTTATCATCTTTCGAATAAGATAAGGTTCCAAGCTTTTTTAGTGCAAATCAATATATTTATAAAAACATCTATATTTTGTATTGCGATCTAGCGGAAGTATCTTTCTGGAATGGCGTGTCTTCTTAGAAATTGCTTCATAAAAGTGAGGGACACGATCATTAAAGGTTCCGACACGAGTGGACCTTCTGTCAAGATATCTATACTGCTATCGGCATATTTAGTTGACAGGGATGTTTATTTTGAGCAAGTTAAGGGTTATTTAAATTATAGGATTAAGAACGGAGAAAAGTTTTTTCACAAATTAAATACCTTGTAAGCCCCTGTGTGGTCTCAAACAAAGCGGCTGAAACTGAAATGAAACATTAAATAATTACTTGACCGTGGAAAGGTTTAGGCAATCACTCCCAGACCCTTACGTACACTTTATGTTTGTAGATGGAGCCTTGTTGAAATATTTAAATGGTTTTACTTTCTTTTTGTGAAGCAGAGTGCAAATTTTTATAACAATTTTGTTGCAATTTAGGCATAGTGGAAGGAAACAGAAGCTCAAAAATCAATGCAAATAACAAGGGACCGATAAAATTAGCAATTTAAAGGACGCAACTTTTCACAAAAAGGTCTAAACACACATGGAAATCAAATATCATTTTAATAGAAGCGAAATACAACGCTGCTTAATGAGCTTACGTTACTCTGCAAGCAAAGGCAACTTACCAAATATTTCACAAGAAGATAACGAGTAAACATTTAGATTGGGTAGTGTTAGAAATGGTTTTCAAATATCAAAAGAAGGATCTCTGATATCCTCAAAGAATAGGAGAAAGCAAATGGTTTTACTTTCTGCATGTAAAACAGAGTGTACAACTTTAGCTTGGGTGTAGTGATTTAAGCATAGTGGAAAAGAACAGTGGCGCGAAAATCAAAGCACACAACCAGGGAGCATTAATATCAGGAAGAACCAAGCTTTTCAAAAAAAAACAACGTTTAAACACATAGAAATTAAAAATCATTTTATTAGAAGCAAAGTGCAGGTAGCGCGGAACAATGAACTTAATTAATTGCCAACGAAGATAACTTAGTAAATACATTTACAATAACAAAAAGTAAAGTTAAAATAGATCATTTTCAACATTTTCTATGTAGCAACGCGAGTCACAACAACTGTCACGAAATAAACTCACTAGCAAAGTGTGAAAGAATGGATATTTACCATAGGTTTTAATAAAGGTATGTAAAACAGAGCTACAAAAGCTTTTCAAGAGTTCAGCAATATATATATGAAGTATATAAGTGAGCAAAAGTTCCATATTCGTGATTGTCCGGATTTAGTAAGCTCTGTTTGTTCAACTCAGGGTGCTATTTTTGAGATGTTGCCATTTAGTCTTACAGTAAAATATTGTCACTCTTTTAAAAACCCTTAGTATTCTACAAAACTTCACCAAGTAGGTACCAGGT